AGTGTTCATTTATCCATTAGGGAATGAAAGGATTGGGGTAGAAAGAAACAGATTATAGAAGCAAGGAGATCGGTTAAAAGACTTTTGTAATTGTCTAGGTAAAAGGGAATGGTCTGAATTAAGGTGGTGACTGACATGGGAAAGAGTAGATGTAGAACTAGAGTTGTAGAATCGATGTAGATGTAAATCAATAGGACTTGTCAAATTATTAGAAGAGGGGATATTCAAGTATCTTTCCACTGAATATTTGAATCAATTCCCATAAATATTTTCATTGGCTAATATTTATAAGGCAGGTAGGTGGCACAGTGGATAAGCATCAGGCCTGGAGTCAGGAGTTCAAATCCAGCCTCAGACACTGGGCAAGTCTCTTAACCCTGTTTGCCTCAGTTTCCTTATATGTAAAAATCCGCTGGAAAAGGAAATGGCAAACCATTCTAGTATCTATGCCAAAGAATGGGGTCACTGAGTCAGACGTGACAAAATCGACATTATTTATTTGGTGGTAAATGTTCCCTCTCAAACCTTCTACCTCCCCACCTCCCTGCCATTTTACCTTTGGTACATTACCTTTACTTGTGCGGAATCTTTTAATTCTGATGTAAAAGGACCCATCTAATTTGTTCTGTATAATTTCAAGATACAAAAATGTCATCCATCTACACAGCTGATACATTTTTACTTTTCTTCTTTTTTTTTTTTAGGCTATTGGGGTTAAGTGACTTGCCCAGAATCACACAGCTAGTACTCTAATTTTTTTTGTGGTGATGGGAGAGGAATAAGCCTTTATATGGTGCCTGTTATGTGCCAGGCTCCAACCATGCTAAGCTCTTTACAAATATCTCATTTGATTCTTGCAATAACACTGTGAGGTAGGTGCTGTTTCTATCCCCATTTTATACTTGAGTAAACAGGTAGACAAAGTTTAAGTGACTTGTCCAGGTCACATAGTTACTAAATGATTTGAACTCAGGTCTTCCTGACTTCAGGCCGTGCTCCAATCACTGTGCTACAACTAGCTGCCTCTAATTGACTGATGCTTAAGTCCATATTCCAACCAGAATTCATTTTTTTTTTGGCTAGGTAATGGGGTTAAGTGACTTGCCCAGGGTCACACAGTTAGTGTAAAGTAGCTGAGGCTGCATTTGAACTCAGGTCCTCCTGACTCCAGGGCTGGTGCTCTATCCATTGTGCCACCTAGCTGCTCCATCCAACCAGAATTCATTGTGGAAGATGATGCAAAGTTCTAAATTTAATTTCCTCTACGTTTTTCCAACCTGGTTTTCCCAGCAACATTTATTAAAAATAAAACCTTTATGCAGCTTTTATATTCCATCAAGTTTATCAAATATTAATTATATATATTTTGCAAATTATTTATATATATAAATGTATTTATGTATATGTATACATTTATGTATATAATTTATATATATAAATAATTCTACTTACGCTCTTTTCTGTTCTATTAGTCATTTTCTTCCCCCCCAATCTAATATAGTTGACTCCATCCCTACCCCCCAAACCCCCCACAACAATCACTTCCCAATAAACAAGGTGGATAGTCGGTACAAATATAAGGAAAATATAAGTTCTTTCAATTCAGCTTACATTTATGGATTCAAAGGCAAAAATGAAAATAATCCTTGCCCTGGTGGAGCTTATTTCCAATGGGGGGGGACCTTTGACACAGATAGGGAAATACAAAATATAAACAATGTAATTCTGGAGTTGGAGTGGAAGTGCTACCAACTTGAGATCAAGGAGAGCCTCAGGAAGGACGTGGCATTTTTAAATGAGCCCTGAAGACATCAGCAAGAGTGTGTGTAGAGAAAGCAGAGTTGGGGGCCTCGGGCAGAACTTTGAGGAATGCTCAAAGTTAGGGGCTGTGATCTGTGCGATGAAGCTGAAATGAGATTGAGAAAGGGAGGACAAGTAAAAGGAGAACCAGGAGTAGGGGCACAAGCCCTGAGAAAAGAAAGTATGCAGGAGGATAAGGTGATCAACAGTGATGAATGTGGCAGATAAATCAAGAAGAGTAAGGACTGAAAAGGTCACCATGAACATTAGTAAACGATAATTAGTAATTGAGTAAATGATCATTGGTAATTCTGGAAAGAGCAATTTTAGCCAATTTGTTGAGGTTGGAAGCCAGATTTCAAAGGGTTGAGAAGAAAAAGTAGCAGCAGTGAGGTGAACTAGCTTTTTCTAGAAGGGATATAAGGCTGAGAAAAGGGATATAAGGCAATATCTGGAAAAGGTGGTAGAGCCTACTAAAGGTTTTTTTTTTAGGATACTTACTACTTCTAACTTGAATTAGTGATTTGTGTACCTCTACCAGGCTTTAAATTCTTTGAGATTAGGCACTGCTTTTTTCATCTTTGAAAGACCAGCAGATAGCAGTGTCTTGCAAAATTTCTATATTTCAAAGGTCCGTGGCTTTGGTAGTATGGATAATCCCTCCAACACAATTCCTACACCTCTACAACTTGGTAAGTGTTCTTGAAGAGTTGCTGTGGCTGAAAAATTCACCATCCTGCTGCCAAACTGGTGATGAAACTCTCCACACTGAGCAAAACTATTCCTTAAATGGCAGATACAGTCTGTCACCAGGTCTGTATTTGGGAGCTTTTCCAGCATAGTAAAAGTTTGTGCTTTGTTGGAATGACCTTTAAAAATCCAGGGTTACTTCCACCATCAGTGGTGGTGTGTAAGGCTTCCAGAGAGGAAGTACTTAACATTTCTTGAATGGAAGTGAACCTCCTATAGTGTTGTGCAACTAATACAAATTTCTGTAATAGCTTTCCCAAAACATGAAGCAAGAACCTCAATTATTGTCTTGCAACCAGGATGGCAAAGGCAAAATGGGGAAATATGGAATTATTAGTTCAATACTCATTTGTCTATATATTAAGAATAATTTTCACCATCTTCCCTCCTAATCTTTTTTGGGTGACAAACAGTATCGCACTGAACATAATATATACATGTTCCTTAACACCTTTCCTTCCTCCTCATATTTCTTTTCCCTTTTGAACTTTGAAAAGCTTTTAGTTCGAATCTCCTTTTCTGTAGGACTCACTTCCTTTCAACCTTTCCTTATCTATCCCCTTAGATAGGAGATGACAGTTATAGGGTAAAGGTAGATATGGGTGGCTTTTTCCTAGGAATAAGCCTTCAGGATGTGACTTTCTCAGCCCACTAAATCCTGCAGTGGTTAACTGCCAGATCTGAGCATTCAAGATGCCCCAGGCTTCAACTTACTATACTCAAAAGAACATTTAACCACCCTGCAATATGACATGAATGATGGCGACTGGATTGACTTAAGAAGAGATGTTTACTTAACTTTCAGGGACAAGAAATGAGCTAGCCATGGAATTCTGCCATCCTATTACCTACAGAGTAGTTATTAGTGGAATCCTGTGCATCCTTGAGGATTGTTTGCAGGCAGTTTGAGCTTGTAGGCTGTTGAGTTTATGACCTTGCTGGACTTAATCAGTTGGTCATCAAGCCTCTTAGAGGGCCGAGTTGTATTAAATCTATGTTAACGGTCACACCTAGCATGCGTTGCTTCTCATTTGTACCTCTAATCATAACACATTGGCCTTACACAGAATGTGAACCCTTGCACAGGAGAGTAGTTGGTGGCTTGTGGTTTAGAAAGGTAGTTATTGTGGCAGGTAGGTGGGGCAGTGGATAGAGCACTGGCCCTGGAGTCAGGAGGACCTGAGTTCAAATCTGGCCTCAGACACATGATACTTACTAGCTGTGTGACCCTGGGCAAGTCACTTAACCCCAACAGCCTCACTGAAAAATAAAACAAAACAACAAACAAAAAAAGAAAGGTAGTTATTCACTGTGAGGATGTATGTGAAGAGAATGAAGGCCAGGAAGTAAGAGTGATAAAAATTACACAATATAAGTATTAAGGTTTCTTGAAGTGTTTTTCCTCACAACAGCCCTATGAGATAGATATTGCCCCCATTTTTATGAAGAAACTGAGTGAAGTGACTTGCTTAAGGTCATATATCTAGTCCAAAAGTGTTAATGATTTCCATAGGTAATGAATGAAAAGTGGCATAACTGTACTTAGGTTTTAGTCCAATTCTATTCCTTGCATTTAGGAGCTAGAAACTTACAGGTTAACCTACAGATGAGAAGACACAGAGAAGTGGGTCAGTACCCACTGTCATCCTCATTTCTAATTTGCTAGACAGTTTTGTTTAGCAACTGGATAAACACAAAACTTGCCTTCTCAAGGATATACAAAGTCAGCTGAAAGGAAAAAAAATGGAGGATCTTTATCTGTAAGAAGACACAACAAGGGACATGACAGTTGTGTTCAAGTATTTGAAGGGCTGCTCATGTTAGAAGGAATTAAGACTTGTCTTCTTGGGTCCCAGGGGACAAAGCCAGGAACAATTGGTGGCAGTTACAGAGGCAACTTCAGGCTTGGTACTGGGAAAAAAAAAGTGAACAGGCTACCCTGGGAAGTAGTACAATCCTTTCTCAATGGAGGGCAAGCAAAAGCTGAGTGACCACTTGTGTATGTTATGGGGAAGATTCCTTTTCTGGGTATGAAACTGACTAGATGGCTGAGGTCCTGTCCAACAAATCGTGTAATGTTTTATCAACCACTTGTTAATGTACAAAATCCTATGCTAGGCATGAGGAGGGAAAACAGACAAAAATGAAATCATCCCTGTTCTCAAGGATCATACTTATACTGGAAGACACATACGCACGTAAATAATTTTTAAAAAATAAGGTACCTGGAAGGAGTAAACAAATAGAGGGTAGAGAAGACTTCACAGAGATTTTGTTATCTGAACTGAGCCTTAAAACAAGGGATTTTGAGAGGCAAAAATGAAAAAAGGATGCGAGATGGAGACGAGAAAAGTAACTGTCAAGTCTGGGTAGCAGTAATTCAGCTTAGCTAGAACACAATAAAAAGTTTTTCACAACTAGTAGGCTTCATTCACACAACAAATCGCCACTGAATATACAGTTATATATATTTATATATAGTTATATATATAGAGAGAATATATATAGTAGCAAACTTCAATACATTCATGACAATTCATAGGCTGGCACTTCTGCTGACTCTAGTAGCACCTTATTGAAAAATCTTTATTATAAAAAACAAAGTTGTATGGGGTGATAAAAACAAAATCATATCTTTACAGTCAATGTTCAGAATAAATTCTCAACCTCTCAAGAGAATCTATTCTTATTAGAAACTAGTCTAATTATATACATATATAATTTTATATCAAGAACAAATTTACTGGGAACCTATTCTATTAAATAAATACTATACACAATTCATATAATGAAATGGAATGTTAAAGAAGCTTATTCTTAATTCATTCCCTCCTCTAACCTTTTTTCATCCTAAGTTTAGTACTTTTTGCTTATTATTCAATAAACTAAATTAGGAAGTAGCTGGGAACTCACTGGATTTAACTGCACAAAATCAGAGGAATCTTGGAAATTAAATTAAAGTTATAGGAAGAGTAGGCAGAATCTCTTTTCAGACATCCTGTGATCAAGCTTGAAACTAGGAAACTTCTTAGTTTTATTTTATTAAACGAGAAGTATTAAACAATGAAAAAATAAAGAACTTTCAAAATGACTTAAGAAATTTACACCAAGTAAGAGAATATTTTAAGGGTAAAAATAAATTTCTAAACCTACCAAAGAACTGGCTAACAAATGTTAAGTTTTTTCCTGAAGAATGCCCAGATGGATCATCAAATTACTTCTAGCTGGAAGGGAAAAAAACTCTGGTTTCATTAAGTGAAACAATTTATTCCTTTGAAAGGATTTATCCACTGTGTCAGCTTGTTTAATTTCTTACTAAATAGGTATTTCTTATTTATACATCACACAGGATACAAATAAGCGTTTGCTAATTTATCAACATATTAAAAATATAGATTGATCAAAGTATTTGCTCTGCCTGAAAAAAAAAAACCAAAAATAAACCAGAATATTTTTCAAGATACCAATAAACACAGAAAACCAACATATACACTTATTGACAGTATACATCTTATTTTTGACTAAAAACAGTCTTCTATTTTTACAATGACCCTTAGTTAACAATTCTTATTTTGGATCCTGTGAATCCATCAGGATTTACTAACAAATTTGTATTCGAAAGTGTAACTCAAAGGCACTCAACTCAGTGGTCACAAGTTCCTGAGCTTAAGTAGGAAATAGGATCCTTTAAAAAACTGTTTAAAAAAAAATATAGATAGATGAGCACAGAATAAAAAAAATGCTTAATAAGTAATACTTAGTAGACAAATAACATGAATAATAATTTAAGACTATACAGGATACTAAAGAGAGACTATGGAAGGAAAAGGAACTGCCTTGTTGAAGCAAAATAAGATGCATAAAAATTCCTTTTCCTCCCAAAATAAGCTTCTTTGAAAGTGAGACTGATGATTTTAAATCCTAGACGAATTAAAAGGCAAAACAACATGAAAAAATGATTTTAAGCTGAAAAATATAAATACAGTCCTCAGGTTTGTCTTTCAACTCCCCAAAGCATATATGGGATGTGAAACCATTCAAATCAAGTATAAACTAAAGGGATACCGAATAAGAGGAGGAAAGCAAAATCATTAGAGAATGAGTGATAAAACTGAAGGGCAACTTTAAAGACACATCATCAAATCTATAGCCAGATGCTCGAATAACTTCCTAGCTATTTTTCATTCAAACAATAGAAAATTTGCAGATATGTAACCAAAGTTCACAAACATTAGGTTAGGGTCAAACTTTATCCAAAAAAGTATACATGTATTTAGTTTGATAGAAAAATGTGGAATGTCCTATTAATCTTCAATTCTTGTCTGCTAACACTAAACAGAAAACACAAATTGACATTTTCATAGCATAATTGGGTTTGGCAGGAATTTTCTTGGCTTCAAAATTCACTTTCTTCATATATGCATAGAATTATACTGAGGATAAAAAGTAAATTATATGTATCATCTGCTACAGTTCATAAGGCCTTTCTCATTATTAGTCACCTTATTTGTATATATCAGTAGGGCCATAACATTAAAGTAGAAACACAACATTTTCAAAGTGCAACTGTGTTCCATTTGACCAGACTGCTTAGTTTTCTGTATTTTCTAGTTGACCACCATTTTCAGTTTTTTTTTCTGGTGATATATACAGGAAGTTACAGCAGATAAACAAAGGAAAGATGAGAAGTCTGCTATCCAAATTCATCACCACTTGTTCCTATACAAAACAAGTTTGAAAACATGTTACAAAGTAAACTGGACAGAAAACAGTTTTAACATTTTTAAATTTTAAAGGTCAACAACAGAGTGAAGTTGGAGACACAGAGATGAAAATGCTAAATGTCTAGTCTTTGAAATGAAAAAGCAATAGGAAATAACTGGAATGTTAAAGCAGTATGATGGAGCTAATGTGATCTTGGGCTTTAATAGAGTTTAGTTGAGGTGGAGTGCTGGGGAAAGGTCAACAATTTCACTACATTCTGGGTTGGTGAGACTACATCTCAAATATCAGGTCTAGTTTCAAGAAACATGCTTTGAGATACGCAAGTAAAAATAGAGCTTCCAAAAGAGAATTTTTATGAAGAGGTTATCTGGCAATCATGTCAATATGAATGAAATTAAAACATTTATTAATCACCAAATACATGCAAGATACTGTACTAAAGCCATAAAGGAAAAAAAAGAGCTTCCTCAATGAGCTTAACATTATATTGAAGACACAACATGTACTCAGATTAGGTACAGTATTTTGGAGGAAAGAAAGAGAACTAAAAAATTATGAGAATGTGTATGTACATGTAAATACATCATGTACATACTCTGGGACTTATATTCACACACATGCAAATCCGGAAAAATTTCATAGGAATGGCCCCAGCGTTGAACCCTAAACAAAGAAGATTCCAAGAGTACATGCATTTCAGGCCCAGGGAAAGCAGCCATCATTGCGATGGGAGAAGGACTGCTGAGTTTAGATGTTAGGTCTGTGCATCTGAAAGGAAGAATGTATTCATGAAAAGCAGTATAAGATAAGATGGGAAGCACAGACTGTAAGTGCTGGGCTGTGAAATTTATACTTTCTCTCAAAGGTAGGAGGAAGTCCTGAAGGATTTCTGACTAGTGAAGTGATAAGGTCAGACCTGGGCCTTAGAAACATTATACCTAACTATATGGAAGATGGTTTTGAGAGGGGGAGACCTTAAAAGCAGAGAGATCAATTAGGAAGCTTCAACAGCCTTGGCCAAAGAGTTTATGAGGGCCTAAACTGGCGTGGCGGCAAGTGATAGTAATGAGTATGGAAGGTGAACAAGAGGCTGGAAAGATAGTGATGCTCTCCAAAGAAACACGGATAAATTTAAGGAGGAAGACAGCTTATGTTTTGGATTTGTTGAGTTTGAGAAGCTAATAGGACAACCAAGTGACAACACTCAGCAGGCAACTGGTGATACAAGAGAGTTCAGCAGAGAGTTTAGCGCTGGACATACAGATCTGGGAGTCATCTGTATAGACATAATAACTGAATTCGTGGGAGTAGATGAGCTCACTAAAGGGAAAGTCTAGAGACAGATGAGCAGAGGGCCCACTCAGAACAGCAGGGAGTCAACAACTGTAATACTTCTATTAAAACAGAAGTAGCCCCAGGGCTTTCCCATCCACCCTGCTACTGCTTCTGAGCTCTTCCAGACCTCACCATTACATTAGCCTGCTGGGACTTCTGGGACTTTCTATCTGTCCTAAAGCTGAGCCTTCCAATATATGTGGTCTCTTCAGATTAGAATGTGAACTCAAGAGCAATGGGACTGTCTTCACTCCAACACTTCAATATCTATCACTTAGAACACTGCAAGCACAAATGCTTTTTCATTCAATCTTTTATTTATTCATTCTAGTTGCTACATTTTAGGATAAATACTATTAAGCTGGAGTGTCTAAAGGAGGGCAAACCAGGGTGATGAAAATCTTCAAGATCGTGATATATGAGGAAACTTGGAATGTTTGGCCTGAAAGAGAAAAAAACTCAAGAAGAGACATGATAGCTGTGTTCAAGTATTTGAAGGACTGTCATAAGGAGTACTAGACTTTTCTCCTTCGTTTTAAAGAACAGAGCCTGGAAAAATTGGTAGAAGTTACAAAGACAAAGATTTAAGTTTGAGATAAGTAAAAATACCTAGAAATAATTTAATGATTTTGAGCTACCTTCCCCCTCCACAGACCTAGTTTTTAAAGTTCAGTTCCTATAGGACATATTTTAATTTCTAACTACCTTTTAAAACCTGCACATTGATCATGACAAAAAACAATACTTAAGTAATATACTTTCTGCACAACTGTAAGAACCAACTTTCTATTAATGTAAAGCATTAAACAGAAGATTTTCAAAAGGCTACGAAGTCAACCTACCTGATCCTTTTCAAGAGTAAGTATTTGGTATCCAGTTGTTCTACTACAAATCAATTTCCCGCTACTATCAAGAGAGGCCAGACGGAGTCTAGGATTATAAAGAAAACATCCTTATCAAACAGATTGAAAATTGAGTCCATTAATGAATTTTAATTTCATTCTTTTTGAAACCTCAATTTTACTGCTTTTACCTTTACATCTTTCAAACAATGATGCTATAAGCCTTCCCAATGAGACTTTACAGAACAAATATTAATCTGACTTCAAAGTACAATCTGTTTTTTTTAGCCTTATGAACCCTTGCTATCATACAATTCTTGAGATGTAAGCAAATAATTTGTGATGTCCATACATCTTACTTTTTAGAACTCACTTGGCAGACTGTCTCAGTTTGTCTACCTACATACTTCTTCATCAAATACATACTACAAGAAAAGACTAGTAATAAAAATTGGAATTAACAGCATTGTACAAAGTTGTGGACACAGCTTGCATATTTACTTGCTGTCATATTGCCATATTTATGACTCTCACACCTATGTATCATAAGTACAGAAGAAAGCCTAATATTAATGCTACTGATGATGAAACTACAATATCCTACAGCACTACTTTCTATTCATCCCTTAGATTCTGGATTATTCCTCACTAATGCTGAGGTCTCTAGCATATAATGGAAACACCAAACATCATTAACTAGTTCCACAGAAAATAATTTAGGCAAAACAATATTCCAAGAGGCAGTCAATTACACAGGGAAAAAGCTCAGCAGAGCTACAGCTTCTTGGGTGGACTACCTTCGGGGAAGCCCCTGGTAACTTGACAGCACAGCTGGGGAGCCTGTGGCCATTTGGCTGCACGTGATGCTCACTGGAGGAGTGCTACAAAGGGTGAACTTGTATTATGTCCCACTGGTGCTCTGTCAGTTCTAATGATCAGCCCCCTCTTCCTCTTATCCTACCTGAACGCTATATTTCTTCGAGGCTGTAAACTGACAGATCCACTGCACGGCTGATTCAGAGTGTTTCGTTTGAAAATAATATAGCGATTGGTGTAAGTTACAAGTAAGTCAAAGCCAAAGTTAAACCCTGTCCACCGCCAGCAGTACTAAAAAAATACAAAAAAGAAAAAAGGCTGTGATTTCAATTCAAGATATTGGTAAGTCAACAATAACTCAAAATGCAGTAAGACTGGGGTTGCTGCTATTCCTTTCCTATGTCTCTTATACTCCTCTTTTCTTTGTGCCACTGTTCATCACTGCCTTCCTATATACCCCACCTCCAAGTCTGTTACCTCAACATATCTATTAACTCTCCACAGATATTGGTGAGATTCATCTTTGCCAGGCTGCTGTAAAATCAAAAAGCGACTTCTAACCAGAATCCCAAGATATGACAGCTCAGGAAGTCAACAAGCTAGGAGGAAATAACCACCATAGCCATCAGATATTCCTTGACTGGTGTCTAAGCTCTTTGAACCTCAAATACCAGAAGACTGATTAATCAACAAGCACACAGGTGGATAAAGGTCTAGTGGGTCAAATAAATTAGAACATGTTACCATTAAATTCTGATGTCTCTTCTTGACATGTATGACAAGGTCCTATCAAGACTGAAATACTTCTAGTATAGACCCAGTGACATGTGTTTACTGTTCATGGTCTACCCCTTGCTAAATCTGGAAAGGCTCACTAACATAGGTTCTAACATAGAAACTTTCAAAGACCATTCACTAAGTTAATGAAATGAACAAACCAATGAAATGACAGATTCTTAATGTACATTCTATTCATTTGAGATCTCAAGTATAGAGGTAGGAAGCCTGAATTATGGTACAAATGCTCACAATTATAAATTTGAAAACAGTGTAAGTATCATCAAACATAGAGGACAATAGCTGTTCCATCTCCAAGTGCAGCAAGCGCTATGTGTCAGCAAAATTTTTTTGAAGTACAAGAAATATCATGTTTCCTATTTTACTGTTAAATAACTGGAATAAGAATGTAAACAAACCACAACTGGTACTTACTTCACCATCCTTGGCAAGTTTTCTACCACACCTCATGCTATTTCCTTCAAGTTCCTCTTTATTAATTTCCTGAGGTCTAGAAATATATATAACAAATGATTTTGATGATGACAGATAATAGCTCACTGTGAATTCTGAAGTAAAAGAACAGAGAAACATATGCTACTAGATTTAAAGTAGGAATTTTCTCACCGGTGGTACATAAGAGTGACAGGGATATTATGATTTAATTATCTGATTTGATATCTTTGTTAAATAAACAGCTTCAGATTTTACATTGTGTTTCTCACTGCCTCCGTTTCTATTCTGCACCTACTAGGACTTTTATAAATCAGAGAAGGTAAAAAACTTCAAACACAGAAATATTACTAACAACACTATCTTGCATTGATGAGATTAAGAAAACAAAAACGTAATTTTACTCTCAAATGACAGCAGTCCTTTTAAAATCTAGATCATTTAAAATATAATAATTATGATTGGCATTTATATAGCATCTGCTATGTGCCAAGCAGTGTACTAAGCACTTTACACACAATCTCATTTGATCAATAAAACTCTCACAAGTTTTGGTTCTGTTAATCTAGATCTACTTAAGGAAAGGAAGCATTAGTTTAATTTTCCAGCAAATTCGAAAATTATGCATTAGGGAAACAAAACAGTAACTCAAATTATTGTTACATTCAGAACTTACTACTGTGGCTTTAGCTTTATTATGTGTTTCAGTTTCATAATCTAGACTCTTTAGTGTAATCAGTGTAAATTACAATTTAAACAGCAAAGAAAGAGTAGATTAAAAAAAAGTCTAATAGCTTATACCTACCCTGTGTCACTATCTTGTTCTGCCCTGAGCATGGCAAACCACTGCTGTTTGTAAACAGAGGCCAACCATTCTAAAATTCAAAGATAAAAATGGATAAAGAAAAGTTTAGAGGATTTATACATTTTAAAAACATGAAAAAACCAAAGCACAATAATCAATAAATCATCCAGTAGGTTTGCTTCAGAGAAGCTTCTCATGAGCCATGGGAGAGAAGTCCCTCATAGTGAGCTATTCACATAAATGAAATAAAAAGCAGAGTCCAAATAAAAGGGCTATGACTTTGTTTCAATGTTTATTTTATTTAAATTATTACTCAGGAACAAATGACTTAATTACATTTTTTCGACAAAACACATACTCTTTACTGTTTGATTAGCCTTAATTCTTCAGACTTCAAAGGCAGGCTAGACTTCATTTTATTTAATTTATTTAAATATTTATTTTTAGTTTTCAATATTCACCTCCTCAAGATTTTGAGTTCCAAATTTTCTCCCCATCTCACCCCTCTCCCTACCCAAAACGGTATGTATTCTGAATATTCTTTCACCTAATATGCCTTCCCTTCTATCACCCCCCTCCCGCTTCTCTTATCCCCTTCCCCTTCTATTTTCCTGTAGGGCAGGACAGATTTCTATACCCCATTGCCTGTATTAGACCTCATTTTGGAAGACATATTATTCTAAAAGCAAGAAAGATTACATACACACATATAGCTATAATTCACATATTTTTTATCTTAGGTATCTTAGGATAACATCATTGAATAATGATTTGGTTACTTTATTTACCACATCTAGATGAAGACAACTGAGTAACCACTTGCTAAGATGAACCAGTTCCAATTCAGCAAGGTTATTCATGAATACTTGAGTGATAATTTTGTCATACTATATTAGGTAAAGCGAAAGCATCAAAAGAAAACACACTATATATTTTAATTAAACTAAATTTATGTTTTGGATGCTTTCCTTTAACAATATGAGCACAAAACTATCTAAATAAGCAAAAACCCTCTCTGCGCTTAAATCTTTAGTTAAAAACAAAATGCAGTTAGTTTGGTCTTTGTTTTCTTGATTCATTTTTTATTCATTGTCAGAAAACAATTTTCTGCTCTTTCATGGTCATATGATTTCTTTTAAAATAAATCAGTCCAAATAAAATATTCATTCTGTAACTTGAGAAAAAATATTATTTTGATTCTATATAATTTCAGGAATATCATATCAATCCTGGTGGTTGACTACTCCTTCTCTGAACTGATGATCAGACTTATCCAACTCTACTCATGTGCTCCTTTGATGCCTCAATGTGGCATGAAAATGACCTTGTTTTCTCAAAAGGCTAGGATAATGGAATGTACTATGCTTTCTCAGGTTGTAACAAGCTGAAAAAAATTTAAATATGGGCCTGTCACTGACTGGACTCTTATCTATTGTACAAGCCTGGTCTAGCTATATTCAGAGAGGTTCATCACCAGATTGCCTGTAGGATGTCGAATTTCTTAACCACAGCAACTGTTAAAAATCATCCACTAAGTATATGTAAGGTGGCAGAAAATAAAGAATTTTCAGAGTAAGATATGTTGAGACAGAATTTTTTAAAGTACATAGTTAAAATTATATAGAAGTATCTATCTCTCATTAAGTATAAGTGAAGTCTCCATAAATATTATTTGAAAAAATAATGTATTTAGACAGATTTACTAACTTGTAAAAAAAAAACTAAATTTTTCTTTAACCAATAAGAAATATTTATCTCTAGGTCAAAACAAGAGGGTCAATATTTCTCATACTGAAAATAATCTGGTTTCTCCTCAACGGGTCTTACCATTACACTTTAAACCTTCAGATCAAATGTTATTGAACTAAGCATATAATTTTCCATTGTGCTTAGTCACTACCATTAGGATCTTAACATGAGTTCTCAATAGCTAGACTAAGAGATAATCCAAAGTGAATGAAAAGGTCTTACAGATATTGCATCTAATATTAAGCCCTCAAGAGATCTATCTTAACTTTATATATTGTCTTTAGTGGAATAACTTTTAATAAATGATTCATAGCTATTATCAGGTTAAAATAGATTATTTATATGTACTTTGGATAATAATTTCAAATAAAATACTTTAATACTTAAAGTATAAGTCTAAATAATGTATTTAACTTGACAGATACAAATTTTTACTGTGAGTAAATGATTCATATTATGTTTAAATTTTTATGGCTTCTTTCCTTCAAAAAAAATTCCTTTAACATGTAACATGTATCATCTCATTTAAAATCACAGTAATTCTCAATATTACATCAATAGGGCTAGGGATTACAAAATAAATGATAAATCCAGATACGGTAAATGGTATATTTATTCATCATTTGGGGTACTTAAAAAAAAAAGTACAATGTGCCACATTGTGACTATTGCATGTCAGGTACAAAAAAATGGCAGCACATTCCATAACACTGAGCAGAAATTAAGTCACTGCTACATCTACAATTAAGTACACAAACACAGCTAAGCATATAAAATAATTTCCTTATAATGTTAGTGCTGAGGGTAGTAGTAATATTCAGCTTAACTGCAGTTTCAGGTTTCTCTTATTATAAAATTAATGTGCATCTGAAAAAAGAACTTGTGGTATATCTAAAATCATGTAACAATGAATTATGTTATAATGAAGTCTAGAATATTTTACACATACTAGAGAATCCCAGTACAGCAATGTATATTGTACAAAATTTAAGAATAAAACTTTGGATATGGGCTGAAATAGTATGTACAGGGGTGAGGGAAGACAGGGTAAGAAGTGGCAGTTAGGAATGGCAAAAGGGATAGGCTTAAATCCCCAAGCTGGTAGGTACATATACCCTCTAATGGGCCAGTAACACCTAAGTATTAAGTAATCATAATGACAAATGTTAGGTGAGTAACCAAAAACTTTTTTTTTCCTGGCTCATGATAGTGAAATCCTCTACTATGTATTAAGAATGTAAAGTAGGTTTTTGTTGGTTTGTGGGACTGGGGAGTATGACACAAGGGGTGGGAAATAATCTGCATCCATCCCTCCTGATTTGTGAAGAGATCCCATTGTATAGGGTGCCCTAAGCTCACATGCTAAGATGTGCAACTTTATTTTCCAGTTGAGAAAATAAAGCTGAAATATGGCCAGTTACTTTTCAACTTTTGTACCACCTTAATCCTTTTATCCATTCCTTTATCTTCCTGAATGTGGAAATCCCACAGACTAATGTGGATTGGTATCTATTCTGCAAGATAGTCTCAGAGAGTTGTCTGGGGCAGGGAGGGGTCTAAGAGACTTGCTCAAGGTCACAGACCCAGTATATGTCAGAGGTAGGACTTGAACCCAGATGTTTCTGATTCTGAGGCCTGCTATCTCCCCATCAAACAACACTGCATCCTTTATTATACTAAAAAATAAAAATCAAACTTTGGATTCAACATGATATAAACATTTACCATTTTCTAAAACATATGCATAAGATGGCATAATTTACATTTAAGAATATATTACAATTGTGACTTTCAAACTATGCATCATAAAAGACCTCTCAATGGTTCCTCAAAACAGGAAGGTCACATAATTAGCATCTGTTTATCATCTCCAACAGAACCATGGCCAAATGTCTAGATAGAGCACAATATTCTCCCCAACAATTGCACAACCCATGAACCAAAAGCAATACTTTCTTCTCAGTTCTTTTGAGAACTTACTCAATAAACAAAAGCAAAATCTTACAATAATATAGGCACCACTCTATTCTCTGAAGATGTCTCCAAATGGGTCCTATTAGAAACTCTTAACATTTTAAAAAATTTACAAATTAAACATTTTCTAAAAGAATGTTCAAAGAAATCTTCTAAACAGGATTCTTTTCAAATATTAAAATTATTTTTCCACGCTATATTTCTATAAATATCATTCTAGAAGACTATTTATGTCTTAGATATAGATAAATGGATCTTCAAAAAAAAATCTGGAGTGCCAAAATTAGATATTTTTAGATCTACAATTTCAAACATTTTGTCTTTTTTTACATAAATTTGAGCACTTTAGATCATAAGTCTACTTTGTGTATATATATATATATATATATATATATATATATATATGACTTATATACATATATATACACCATAAGTCTACTTCATATATATATATGACTTAATATTGAATAGAATTTTAGATCAAAAGATATGACCCAGAAAAGTAATTTTAAAATTTCAAAATATTTAAAATTCTAATTTCCAAAGACAATATATATATTTTTTATATGAAGTTTTACAATGTTCAAAAAGAAAGAAAAAAGGTTCTTTCATGAAACAACTTTTTAGGACAATCAATTTTAAAGAATTTAAGGTACTCTATAAATTAGCTAGCACACTGAAACAATGCTGAATTCAATGTTGCTTAAAATAATTATTTTGTATTCTCTTACCTGAAGGTATTAGAGCATCTCGTTCAATGATTCTTGCAGAAGCTAAATCACTGATAATATACTGCAACCTCAAGTGTCTGAATACTGGTATAAAAGCTTTTCCCTGATCAATTTCAAGGAAGGCAATATCTTCGAAATCTGCACAAATAGAAAATAAATGTTTTTTTGCTTTCTCCCAAATGTTAATTTGGTTTTCTAAGAAGCAGTATATATCCCATGTATGACTACATATAGATATAGAGCTCCTCTAGAAGGCTCTACTCCAATGTGTCATCAAGACATAGAAATGACCTTGGACTCTCAATGGCCACGCCAATGGCGCACAAGCTCTGGCTAGTTCTACTGAAACATAAAAGCATGAGTGCAGGTACAACAAACAAGTCTGTAACCAAAGATCAAGCGAAATTTAGACTGCTGTCATCAGAAGGTTGCCAGGTGATTCATTTTAAGGCCAGAGCAACTCAACTATGATGAGGGGAAGGATGTGATCTGCATAGACATAGGTACTACCAAAGCTGAAGAAATCACATTTTTTTGGAAACAGATGATATATTGCATAAGCATACAAGTTATATGTTACTTCTGTACCAGGGGTGGGAAACCTGTGGCCTTGAGGATACATGTGGCCCTCTAGGTCCTCAAGTGTAGCCCTTTGACTGAATCCAAACTTCACAGAACAAATCCCTTTAATAAAAAGAATTTGTTCTGTAAAACTTGGACTCAATCAAAAGGACAGAAAACCACATGTGGCCTTGAGGCCTTAGGTTCCCCACCCCTGTTCTAGAGCTTTCAAAGACCCCAATACATCACAAATAAAGAAAATCTGAAGAGGCCCTAGAAGACAATTCAGTTCTAGAGCTTTTCTGGGTTTGGGCCCATTTGCATGAGTCTGAAAGGCAGGGAATAATTACTTGTTTCTGACCAGTTCTGTTTGACCAGATCAAACAGAAGTCCACAGGGACTCAGAAACCAACCATACCTCTAAACAAACTCAGATGAAAAATGTTATCTAACTTCAGAGAGAGAAATGATGAAGTCTGAGTGCAGACTGAAGTATAATTTTTTCACTTTATTTTTCCTGCCTTTTTTTTGCAACATGGTTAATATAGAAACATGTTTTGCATAATTTCACACATATAATAGATATCATATTGCTTGGCTTCTCAATAGATGGGTAAAAGACAGGATTCGGAACTCAAAATTTAAAAAAAAAAATGAATGTAAAAACACATAATTTTAAAAAGAGTCCTCCAGACCCTGTAGGCTGGTCTTCTAAAGGAGGATGGCTGGACCTGAATGACACACTGATGGCTTGGCTCTATTTCCATATGATTGGGTCAAGTCAATGTTTCAACTTTAAACCAAATGCATTCAAATGTTTTGAGAAAAATCTGGTAATTTACTGAGTGAAGTGAGCAGAACCAAGAGAACATTGTACACAATAACAGCCACACTGTGTGATGACTAATATTGATAAACTTAACCCTTCTCAGCAATACAAGGATCTGACACATCCCCAGAGGTCTCGTGATGGAAAATGCTATCCACATCCAAAGAAAGAACTATAGAAGTTGAATCGCTATCATTTTTTTTCCTCTTCTGTTGAGTTTTGTTACCTCTTTCTAATGGTTCCTCCTATTGGTTTTAATTTTTACTTACAACTTCACTAATGTGAAAATATGTTTAATAAGAATGTAAATGCACAGCCTATATGAGATTGTGTGCTGTCTTGGGGAGGGTGGTAGGGAGGAAGGGGGAGAAAAATTTTAAACTCAAAAGCATATGGAAGTGATTGCTGATGAATCAAAATAAATTAATAAAAAAAATCTAGTAATGGCAGTTCTATCCTAATAAGAACAGGAAATAAAATGTTATTAAAGAAAAATAAAGTTAATAAAAGACAACTTTCAATAGCTTTAGATTTATCATGTAACATGTATCAGTATAAGAAAAAAATTCTAGTGATATACAATTTAGTTGAATAAATATTTACCCCCTGCTGCCTATAAATCATTGTACTGAGCATTGGGAGAAATACAGAGCTTAGAAAAGTTAGGATTCACCATCCTTATAGAGCATATTCAATTCAGCCAACATTTACTAAAAGTTGGTAAGCTTACAATTTAGTAGGCAGACAAGACAAACCAAGAGTTAACTATAAAACATAATAATACATAAATGCATTAAAGAGATGCAGAATAAACTATAATGTGAGGTCTGAATGGGAAAAAGTCCTGTGGTCCTAAGGGCTGGGGAAATGCCTCCCTCCTATTTTCTCATCTTAACTCCCAAACTTCCAATATTTCACCTAGTTGGCTACTCTGATATAAATGATTTTGATATTATAATGTTCTAGATCAGGGTGAATTCTTAACCATTTTTGTGTCATAGACCCCTACTATAGAAGTCTATGGACTCCTTCTAAGAATAATGTTTTCAAGTGCATGAAATAAATACACACAGTGACAAAGGAAAGTAATCCTACTGAAACAGTTATTAAAATATTTTTAAAAGCAAGTTTATAGATCCCAGGTTAGGAATCTTCTTTCTAGATTGTCACAAGGTAAACAGTAATTCCATCATGGTTGCCATTTTTCCTATCACCAAAAACAGGTTCTTATAATTTTGCAAGAATTTGTTTATTTTTATTTATCATTTTTTAAAAAGAATTTAAAGATTCCAAAAAACCTAAATTTTACCCTGTGGTAAAAGTGGTGATGTTTGAAACTGTGACAGCCAAGTTCAATATCTATAAAACTGGCCTTAAATCTGACAGATAGTTGACTTCACTGCTACATTTAATCATTTAGAAAAAGCCAAAATCTCAATTGTACAAAATACAATGGGTCACTGATTGGGAATAGTAACATTAAATAAAGACACTGAAGAAGCACTAACATTTGCTTTACTGTTGCACCCTAAGGACCATGGGACTTTTTCAACTGATTTGCAGGTGAAACCTTCCATATGTTCTTTCTCATCCCAGCAGAATGAGGGCAAGAACTCTTACTTCTCTGTGTGTATTCCTGGCACTTAGCACATTGCTTTGCACACAGTAAGCACTTAATAAATGCTTGCTTGATTCATTTACATTTGGAGAAACAAATATGGAAATTAAGAGGATGTATCAATACACCTTGCTTTATAAGATCTTTTTTTTTTTTTTGCTTTTTGGTGAGGCAATCAGGGTTAAGTGACTTGCCCAGGGTCACACAGCTAGTAACCGTCAAGTATCTGAGGCCAGATTTGAACTCAGGTCCTCCTGACTCCAACACCGGAGCTCTATGCCCTGCATCACCTAGCTACCTCACTTTATAAGATTCTTAAAAAGCAGTGTGTAAATTGCATCATATCTTAAAAATATTATTTGCCCTGTAAAATAATTCTAGAGTCAATCTTTCTATAAAAATGATTAACATTTCTGTAAATTTGAACTTTCATACTGTTTTTGCTCAAAGCAAGCTGATCCTTGTTTTCTCCTCCTATCATCACACCTCAGCTACGTAGAGCTTATTTTGGAGAAAAATTAAAATGGTTAAGTAATAAAAGGAAAAAGATATTGTCTTGTTCTAAAAATGAATGTACTGTTTTATCTTCAGTCTGGTATGCATGATAAAAGTAAATTCACACAAAACAGGATAAGCATACCTTTCCTACGCTTGGAAAACCAGGTATCTGCTTCAGATAAAAGTTGTTTTAACGATCCATTCCAAGAAGGCACTAACTGAAGAAACATCCACTAGATAAAAGAAAAATCACATGACAAACTCAGTCATAAGAATTCAACATATTTAGTGTTTTTATATTTCAAAGAGTACTTACCAATCATTAAACTAGTCAACAAAGTTAAAAGGAAGGCAAGACAAATTCTTGTTCCCCAATTCCATTCATTTTGTGATATGACTAGAAATTTCTAAAAAGATTTGACCTCATTAAGGTTATTCTGCATGTCTGCTAATGCACATGGGGGGGAGGGCATGTTGGAGATAATGTTAGGGCTTTGAGAAATAAGCCTTATTTCAAAATGGGAAAACAGGTAATGGATACCTAATTGGTAGAGTGGCTTCAGGTTAGACACAGAGATCACATTCACAAAGGCAAAACTTCGAGTGAGGTGTTCTAATTCATGGGAAAGACCTTGAATAATGGAGAGGGAGAAGGGAAAAATTGTGCAAGATATATTGAGCATGTGTATCCCAGAGATAAGGGCATGTAGTAAAGTTGTCACCCCAGGGAAATCCTGATTTGCTGTAACAGTTGTTGGGAAAGACTGAACTATTCAAAGCTACACAGTGTTTGGAAAATCAACATTAAAATCAGAAGTCACTGATTCTTAACCCTGCACTTCATCCAACAGAATTTATGATTTCCTAAAAGTTTTTGATTCTGGCATAAGTTTTTTAAAATTTTATAAATGATTTTAAAATTGGAAATCTCATTCATTTTAACAACTTCTTGTGGAGCCATTTCAGTCATGTCCAACTCTCTGTGACCCCATTTGGGATTTTTCTTGGCAAAGACACTGGAGTGGTTTGCCACTTCCTTTTCCAGATGAGGAAACAGGCAAACAGGGCTAAGAGACTTGCCCAGAGTCACACAGTTAGTAAGTGTCTGGGGCCAGATTTGAACTCAGGTCCTCCTGACTCCAGGCCCAGTGCCCCATCCACTGCTTTTTCATTTTTAACTACTCACCAATTAATTCAATTAGTGTTCTCTATACTGCATGAGAAATATTTGGACATGAGGGGAAAAAACCATGGGACTCTGGTCTGATGCCATTCTTAAAGCAGTCTTCTCTTTCATCACAGCACAGAAGTCTTCAATATTGACAGAAGATCTGATATAACTATTGTAGCAAGAGACCCAAGAACTCACTCCTCCTTAGATGAAAGATAGTAACAGAACCTTTCAAGAGCAGTAAAAACAATGCCAGTAATCTCCAAAGGATCTATATTTCACTCTTAGTGCATTTTGTAACATTTTAAATGCACTACACCTCCTTTCCAAGGGAAAGGTCCTGAAGAAAACCTGAAAGAAGAAAACTTGGGTTCTTATCGGAGTGCTACTGCTCAGTGGCCAAGTAGACACTTAAATTGATGGAATCTAAGCTCCCAGGGGCAGGGACACACAATACCTGACACAGTTGTTGTTCAGTCATATCTAACTCTTTATGACCGCATTTTGGGTTTTCATGGAAAAGATACTGGACTGGTTTACCATTTCCTTCTCCAGATCATTTTACAGATGAGGAAACTGAGGCAAAGAGAGTAATGTGACTTGCCCAGGGACAGCTAGTAAGTTTCTGAGGCCACTTGGAACTCAGGTCCTCCTGACCCCTGGACCAGCACTCTTATCTACTGCACCAACTTACCTGCCTGACACAGACTAGGTGCTTAATATATTCTTGCTGACTATTTTAGTTCTTAAACTAATTTCCGCATCAGTAAAATGAAAGTAATATACACCTTATATACCTCACAGGGTTAGTGTGAAGATAAAATGCATGCCAAGAGGAAAGTACTTTTCAAATTAATACAGCATACAAATGTAAGATGGTGATCACTATCAAGACATGCCTACAATTCAAAAAAGCACTTCATAGAAAATTACAATGAAGTTCTTAAAAGTTACATACACTATTTTAATGCTAGAATTACATAAAACATTGCACCCTACCTTTTAAGTACATATTATGTTGCACATATACAACCCATATCTGATTGCTTACCATCTCACGGACGGAGGAAGAGAGAAAGGAATAGAATTTGGAACTCAAAAATTTTAAATAAAAATGTTAAAAAATTGGAAAAAATAAATAAATACTAGTCTTACACTAAAGGTCCCCCTTTAAATGCTTCAATATGTCATGGAAATAACCCCAAACTCTCAAGAATGATGCCGGTGAAGCACCAGCACTATTACACTAAAAAGGCTTCAAATGTAAAACTGGTGATAGACTGTATATCTGATGTCTAAATTAGGCTCATCACCATGTTGGATAAAGGGTGATCAATTTTTCGGGCACAGTAACTTGAGAGAGGCAGTGTAGTGGATAAAGAGCCAGTCTCATAGTCAGGAAAGCCTAAATTCAAATCTTGCTCCTGACACATGCTGTCTATATGATCTGGGCAAATCATTCAACCTTTCACTACCAAAGGCAACTCTGTAAGATGCAGAGCAGGTACTGACCTCCAAGAGCAGAAGAAATCACCCCTCCAACTCCCCACTCTACCCTCAGAAGTTCCTTATACCTGTGAGATAAAATCACAGAGCAGGTCCAAAAGAAAAATAACTCTTTAATGCCATTTAGATCATTATAACAATAGCTCATATTTAATAACAATTAATAATAGTTCATATTTATATAGCGCCTTAGGGTTTCCAAAGCACTTTACAAACATTACCTCAGTTTGATCTAAGTCATTTAAGGGGTTGTAATGTGTGGAGAAAGTACCTAAACTGACAAATTACAAATCCTTGAAATACTTAATTAGGCCAGTACCTTCTTGAGAGCAGTATATACATCCATTTCCACTTGCATTACAAATAGATTAGAAGAACAGATCAGCTGTTTCATGAGGCTTATACTGGAAAAGATAAAATACTGTATCAAACCACTCAAAAAATAAAGAGTTGCAAAAACAAGGTACATAAAAAGATAAGGAAAACTTTTTTCTATTTTTACTTCACAATAATGAAGTAATCAATGTAATAAAACCAATTTTCAACTAGCATTTAATATTATGATAGCTCTGACAGAACTGCTCTCCCACCAAATCTGAGGAAGAAGTTCTGATAGCATAGAATACCAGAGAGAGTGCTGGACTTGGAGTTAGGAAACTTGGGTTCAAATCTCAGCCTATTTAGAAACTTAGGCACAGTGAGAACTAGAGAAAGTCACTCCCTTCCCCCAAATGCAAGCTCCTAGAGGCCAAGACCAGTTTCATTTTTTCTTTGTGTTGCCTTGCACACAGCTGAGAAGCATTTCCCTGGGGCTCAGCTTCCTCATCTGTAAGACGAGGGGGCTGACGGTGACCTCCAAGCTCTTTTCACAGAATCACAACATGGGAAGGAACCTCAGAGACCATTCAGCATGACTCAAACCTGAATAATCTGCTCTTTTCCATATATGAGGAAAGGGGTCACTGCGCTTTTGCTAGAGGGCCTAAATCATGAGATGATATGTGTATAAAACACTTCGCAAGCCATAAATGCTATATGCAAATGCTAGCTAGATTATTATTAAAACTGGAATTACCTCAGAGTCTATCTATTCCAACTCTTTTATTTTACAGATTAGGAAACTGAGGCTCAGGGACATTAAATAACTTGCCCAAAGTCACTTAAATGGTGAGACTCAGGTGAGAATTGAATAAAGGTCTTCTGACACCAGAGCCAGTGCTCTTTCCACTGTATTATGCTACTTCCTGAGATACATCATTCAATTTCTGAACAGTTCTAATTGCTGGGAAATTTTCTTTATTCACCTCTATTCCACTTCCAATTTCTTACTTCAGGTTCTGCCTTCTAGTATAGGTGAGACAAATTTAATTCTTCTACCCTGTGATGGGCCTTGAAATACTTAACAACAAGATGTCCCCCAACTCTTCTCTCCTCCAAGCTGAACATTCTCAGTTCCTTTAATCAGCCCTCATGTGACATGATCTCCAGGCCCTTCACCATCCTGATCTTACTCCTCTAGATTAGGGATGAGGAACCTACAGCCTCGAGGCCACATGTGGCCCTCTAGGTCCTCAAGTGTGGCTCTTTGACTGAATCCAAACTTTACAGAAGAAATTCTTTTATTAAGGGAATTTGTCTGGAGTCTAGACCAGGACTGCACAACCTGTGGCCAGCCAAAGGATTTCCTTTACATTTTTTGTGGGCCACCCAAAATTCTTTGGTGTATTACAAGCAGCTCAAGGGCTGCAGGCTGTACAGGCCTCATCTAGACCCATCCTAGCTTATCAATGCTCTTTTTAGAATATGGCATGCAGAAGTAAACACAATTCTCTAGAAGTGGTCTCATTAGGGTACAGTACAGTAGTATTATCATAACTCCCTAATACTAGACATTATACCTCTTTTAATGCAGGCTAAGACTTCAATAGCTTTCTTAACAGACATCAACATGTACTGATGCATCTTAAGCTTCCAGTTTACTAAAATCCCAAATCTTCAAAATGCTACTTTGCTTCTCTTCTTCAATACATCTTGTATTTGTGAAGTTGATTTTTTTTTAACCAAAGTTAAAATTTTTACATTTATCTCTTTAGATTCAAACCAATATTCTTCTTTGTTGAAATCTTTTGAACGTTGTGATTCAGGTTATTATGTCATCCTTACCAGCTTTTAAAAACTGTTATGAATCTAAATCTTAAATTTTCCAATGTTTTTAATTTAGAAATTGTTCCATAGACACTAAAATAAATATAAAGTATTAAATTAAGCCCTCAAACTCTAACCTGTTAAAGAGTTTAACAAAAGTTTGCAGGTCATTCAACAAAACTTTCAATGGGAAAAGTTTCAAGAGATAGACTGAAAATACATACCAGAGCTGGGCAATGGAGGGGCGGGGATGAAGCATCCCTAAAGTTCTTTTGCAGCTTAGTGGGCTTACAAAGGTGAAAAAAGAATTTTCATGCCAATTACATGATTCAAGAAGGAAGTCAAGATTTGTTCCCTTAAAATATTATATTTGTTCACAAACAACATGTCTTTATGCCTAAATAAAAAAGCCTATATATTAATTTAAATTCATGCTTTAGGATCCTTAATCTTTAAGTTAATTAAAATTCAAATACCTGAGTTCTTTGAACAGATCAACACTCTGATGGGTCATCAAGTTATTTAGAAGCCATTCAAGGCACCTGAAATTATTTAAAATCTGTAATCAGTACACTGCTACATATTTCTTTTTATAGTAAATATCTCATCAAAGGCTATCAGTTTTGATAAGTATAATCTAAAGTTACACAACAGAAAATACTATTTTTTTATAATACATGATGCTATCATTTAGTCTAACAACTAGAAATTTAGTACTGTTACTCTCAGAAGTTTTTAAGGGAGTTTTCCTTAACTCAATTAATGGTAGCATTTTTCATTGAGTGAGAAAATTCCATTCCTAGCATTTTTTCTTTAGTTAAATTACTTAAAAGTAGATCAGTTATGACTCACACATTTCCACTGCTTCCATTAAAAACTGAATGTGAATATAGTATTTCAATTTTGAAGGGTTAAAAAGCACGGACTGTGAAAAGTTTCACAATGTACATTAGCTCCTTTATCTCATCATTTACAATTTTAGTAACTGTGTTTTAAAGAGCAACCATAACTTTGAACACACACAAATATTTTTACAAAAAGTAGGTCACTTTATTTCAAACTAAGAAAAATAAAAAGATGACACTTTTGAGGAGCATGTATTAAGCATCACTTTCTTAGGTATGATGCAATTCTATATTCCTGTCGTTTTGTCAATTCCTCATTCTTTTTCCAACTAAGCATCCTTTTAAGAGATCAAAGCAGCTGATATCCCAAAGGGGGTGGGGGATTGGAGGAGAGAAGACAACTCACTTTTTCTTTACAGAATCTAATCCATAGGTCCCTGCTGATGTGTAATAGCCACATACAGTTTTCACATTAATTGTTTCCTTCATTGTCTCACCACACTGTTGTATTAAACCATCCTGCAAATATAAATAAGCACTGGAAATGCCCATTTCACATGGGAAAACAAGCTTAAATATGTGCTGCTCTTAAATGTTAGCACACTTAAGCCACTAAAAGGAAAAAATCTATTATGAGCAACAGTAGGCATAAGATTAATGCAAATACTTCGTTATGCTACTTTTGAGCTACCTAAAATATCCAGCAAATATTCCTTTTAATACTTCAAGTATTAGAAGGGAAGCAAGGGAGGAAGGGAGAAGCAATAAGCATGAGATGACCACAGCGACTCTTAACTTTCACCTTTCTAAGTCTTCCAACTCCACAAATCTATTATCATAACTGTTCCCCATGTGACAGCTGATAATGTGGCAGGCTAGAGGCTGAAATTTAAAATTCTTATCAACATTTGAAAGACGTATGTTTATAAAGCCCCTAATACTAAAGTCCTCCTCTGATGCCTTAACTGGCATGAAAATAACTGATTCCTTGAAGCTATTCTAGCAAGGTGCAAGCTTGGCAAGTCTTAGAGCAGGCTGTCTCATGCTAAGAGTCGAATATGTTTTGCTGTATCAAGACAAACCTAAGAACCAGCTTAGTCAAGAAGTTTGGGAGAAGCTAATTTCAACAGCACTGGCTATTAAGTAATTTTTTTTTTTTTGCTTCACATAACCCATGAAATCCATCTACTAGGTTATAAAACATTTTTAATCCATGTTGATGGAAAGAGTGTGTACACTGACCTATCTTTTGAAGTATTTAAAGCCAGAGTGTTACTGTTTTAAGTAGTTTAAATATATTCTTTCTCAGCTAAAAATTAACATAAAAGTTTAAAATGAACTGCTTATTAACTTTCTTCAATATATCAAAATACTACTGTCACTTTTCACTCAAATTAAAAACTTCTGAAATAACCTTAAATGCATAGTGTAAGTAGTTAACAAATAATATTTTTTAAATGTAGAAAGCAAATTTAGAACAGATATAGCAGAAGGCCAGAAGCACAAAAAGTATACTTTTCTCTGAAATAAAGATCTGGATTACTAGGTACAAAACTTTTTTTCTAATGAAAGAACCTTTGTGTAAAGTACATTTTGAAAACAACTAATATTGAAGATAAGCTAACTGAATGTAAAAATTAATGTCATTTAAAACAATAACCTAAGACATTAAAGTTAAAAAACAAAATGCAGTACTAGAATTTCAAATTCAGTAGTAATTGTACAACTATCAGATGTGAAATATACATATAAAATTTTGATATAAATGATATATCAGCAGTTAAAAAAAGGTTTAGAATGAATAAATGACTTGTGGTTCTAAGTAGGTAACCACAAGTTTATGTGTTAGTCATCAGACAAACCAGGAATAAAAAATCTTTTGAATCTAGATAAACAAATTTTTCCACACTACAACTACCTATAGCTAGTGTTCATGCCAAACAAGCAATATGCTCGCTTCTGATATGAACAAGCTATTATTTATTTTTACTTGAACCACAAGAAAATTTAGACAGTGCATTCACACATTTTTATGTTAGAACATATATACTGAACCACAGAAGGATATTGTAACTGATCCTTCATTGGGGCAGGCCACTTACCAGCTGCAGCATACAGGCTGCTGCCAAAATGGCAATAACTCGGCTCGGCTTTATTAAGACATCATCTCGATACAAAGAGCCAAAAGCCACCTGCAGTGCTGAAAGTAAATGTACATATTAAAAACGCCAAAGAGCAACTATAAATTCTACAATCTGTTTTATAACATTGAAAACAACCAAAGACTAACTGTCACAAGCAAAGTCAAGACTTGAGAGTTAATCTTGACACGAGAGGATAGAATACTAGATTGGAACTAAGGAAGACCTGGATTCAAACTCCACTTCAGACACCTACTTGCTGTGTGACCCTGGGCAAGTAACTTAAACCCTCTCAGCTACAGTTTCCTTATCTGTAAAATACGGATAAAAATAGCATCTTCCTCTCAGGTTGGACAAGATCAAATGAAAACATACCAAAGCGGCTTTGTAAACTTTAAAATGTCAGCTATCATTATTCTACTAAAACAAAGCATCTAAAACAAGTGTAACTATCCAAAGTGCTAATAATTTGTCATCTTTAATGGTGATAATTTAAAAACAGAACAAACAAATTTGCAAGTTACTATCTGGCACAGATTAGCATAACCTCTCCAGCATAGGTCAAACTCAACCAGCTAAGATTAACTTATTAAGGAGTCTGGATTTAAGACATCCACAAAGAGCTAATGACACCTTGTCCGGACTCCTTTCACCAGTGAATAACTGGATTAGATGGTAGCAAGCAAGTGAGAGGGTAAGACAGAAGTGGATCGGGAGAAGACAGGGACCTAAACATAACAATCTGGAAAGGGTAAATAAGCATATAATTAAAGGATAAAAAGGAGGCAAACCAGCAAAGTAGCCATATAGTATTAATGTAATTATAATTCATCATAATAGATTTATTTTAAATTCTCTGTCCTTATGAGCTCTTTTATATCAATAAGATTGTCACAGACAGATGTAAGAAGTCAAACTGCCGACCTGTTCTCTTGGCATTGAGGAGAGAGAATCTGACAAGAAGTAGGAGAAAGATATAAGTTGGGGCATACCTTACACTAAGAAGATATGTTTGGGTTAATAAGCATCCCTTTTAAAATGGAAATATTCTTGCACAATGCTCAGATTTTAACAGAAGTTATTAAAACATTTATTAAATGCTTACCATGAGCTAGGCATACAAGAAAAAAGGTGTTAAAAACTACTTACTGGCTTCAAATAAATTGATCATATTGAGGGGAAAAAATTTCCTTACCTTCTACATCAATATTTTGGTCAGGAATCTCCAGTTCAATAGTGTTCATGCTTGATTCTTTCCAAGACCCACTAAACATACTGGAAAAGTAGCCAGACTAGAAAATATAAAGTGTTCAAATTAGATCTCAATGATAAACAAGGCACAGCTAGGTACAGGTATAAATAAACAAGGTATAGCATACTGAAAGAACACTGGACCAGCAACTGAATTCTGGGTTATAGTCCTAGCTCTCTATGACCTAGGGCAAATCATGTTATTTCTCTTGACTCTTAATTTCCTTATCTGCAAAAAAGGGTAGATAAATAATGCATCCAAATATGGAATGCATTTCACCCTTCAAATCTGGCTTATATGGAACTTAAATGCAACTTATAAGCACATTATCTTGTAGTACAAATTTTTCTTTTCATAAGATATCTCATTTTGGGGGCACCAGGTTCATATAATCCCTATAAACCTACAGCCATCGTTGAAGGGAGTGGGGGAGGGGAGAAGGCAAGGGAATGAGTATTTTTAAGTGCCTACTATGTGCCAGGCTGCTAAGTGCTTTCTAAATATTATCTCATTTAATCTTCACAACTATCCTAGGAGGGAGGTGCTGTTAACATCCTCGTTTTATAGTTGAGGAAACTGAGGTAGACAGAGGTTAAGAGACTTGCCCAGAATCACAGAACTCCTAAGTGTCTCAGGCTGAGTTTGAGTCAGGTCTTTCTGACCCTAGCTATCACTGGAGAGCTCGGTAACCCTAGATGCCCAGAGGGAGAGGTCACCATGGAAACAGGGTCCACTCCTTGTCACTAACACCACCATCAATTGCTAACTAACTGCCACCAATAGGCAGATAGACACAAGAGCTCTGAGAGTGGCATAACACCTCTTCCCTCCCCACCTACCGCCATATCACTGGGTCCTGCTTTCAGACCAATGCTTCCAGCTATCATTCGAGAAAGTAGCTCCTGTGTGGAAGGAACCAGCTATTCCTACCAACTGCCACCCACACAGCAAGCGAACATTCTAGTTCAATTAGCAAGGTGGCCTGAGGGATAGACGGGGGCACCATGTCCCAAACAAGTCAAACCACCATCACCCCCATCTTCCCTCAGACCCTGATGGAAACAGCCCAGAACTCTGAACCCTGGAAAGATCAATGCTTCCAGCCCAGTGCCCTCAGCCATTATCCTGCACAGTAACCCTCTGTGGAAATACAGTCTAGTGACTGCTCCTCCAGGTGCTACAGCCATAGCTACTTAAGACCCAGAAAAGAACAATTTTTGCCAGCAAAGTCCTTGGCACTGTCAAATTGCTCAACATCAGAAATGGACATGATTTTATCAGGGGAATGGTATTAAAGAAGAAACATCTGCTGTTGCATTCTAAGGCCCACGAGACCCTCCCATCTGACTGTCTTCTCTCTTCCATTAGATCATGGGCTTCTCCAGAGCTGGGACTATCTTTTCTATTTGTATCTGCAGCACTTAGCATGGAGCTTAAGAAATACTTTTTTCATTCATTCACTCATTCATTCAGGCTAATATGGTATTTTCATGCAGAACTGCTGTGAAGAGCACAGAATCAAAGGATTTGAAGACTGGAGGGAACCTCAAGGCCCATCTAGCACAACTCATACACAGAAAGAATCCCCTTTATAACATACTTGAGAAGTGACCATCCAACCTCTGCTTGAAGACCTGCAAAGAGGGGAAAGTAGCACCTCCTAGGGTGGCCCCAAGGCACTTCTGTATAGTTCTAATAGTTGGGAAATTTTTCCTAGTCTAAATTTGCCTCCTTGCATCCACTGTTTTTGCCTCTGGAGCCAAAAAGAACAAATCTAATTCCTTCTTCATGCAAGACCACTTCTAATATTCAAACCTCAGCTACTGGGTCCCACCTCCCGGGTCATCTCTGCTGCAAGTAAACATGGCCAGTTTCCCAAATCATTTTCACATATCAAGCACTTAAGGCAACCTTTACCATCCTAGCTGTTCTTTTCTCTGGATACTCTTCGGGATAAAGTGATCCATGAAAAGTACTATATAAATGTAAACTACTATCATGTAAAGCTAAGTAACTTAGATTATTAAAATGCCATGCACAAGCGCAGCTTGACTTAATGTAAATAATGTGTGGATTGAGAGTTGGGGAAGACTTGGGTTCAAATGTTTGCTCTGAACACTTAATGCTTATGGGAACCCTGGGCAAGCAATTTAACTTAAAGTTTGGTTTACTCACCTGTAAAATAGGGATAAGATTATTTACCTCACCACATTATTTTAAGAAGAGTACTTTGCTAACATTATTGCATTATATAAATTGAATATTATTGGTGTAGCTTCCTATATTTTATAATAAATTTACACTACAATACATTTTGGGAGGGAGGTAATATGCTGAGTCAACAATAATTCTAACAAACCAAATATACACATATTCAGCAACCCTAACTTTAGCTAGTTTTAACACTTTTCTTCCTACTCCTCTAATTCTAAACTTTCCCCTTCTTATTGAAGGAACTTCTAATAAATAAATTGTTGAGATAGCAATAGAGGCAGCACTAGTTTAACAATGAAGAAAATGTCCAAATCTTTTTTAGCTTATGAGTTAAGCTAAAACACATATTTTTTTTAAGGCTCTGAGTAAGTAACTAAATTACTGGAAGAACTATCTTTTTAATCACACAGCTTTTCAACCAGACTACTGGATTCGATGAATAATTATTATCCATGAAAAAAGATAATTACTATAAGGATCATTACAATGAGAAGTAACACCTTTAAAATAAAAACTAAATTTGATCAACTCTAGATCATTTGGATAAACAGAATACTTACCTGACATAGGTATATTTTGTGTAAGCTCCATTCTTCTCCTAGAGCACAAATCTTAATGTCACTATTTTCCCCGTTCAAAAATAAAGTCTGATAAATATACTTGGATGTGCTTTTTAATTTTTTCCTGGGGAGGCAAAAAAAAGAAAACACAACAAAGTTATAGATAGGCATAACACTTGAGTGCAAACTTTGAAACTGTTTTTGTGCATCTGATAACCTCAAAAAGTTATCTAGCCTTCTACAATAAGAGCCTACTTTATGCCCTATGCCCAACAAGTGGTCATTGAGCCTTTCCTTAAAGACCTCCAAGTAAGATAAAATCCAAGAATTACTGAAGAAGCTCACTCCTTTTTTGAACAGTTCTGAAATTCTGGGAGTAAGAGAATAAAGTGTACAAAAAGATGTCTCAACAACTTTAATTCACTTGGGGACCACCACTTAAGAATTCTTTCAATATGGCTTATGATGATTTATATCCCCAGTGCTTAGTACATTGCAGGCATGCTGATTGATATTTATGCTGCATTTTACTTTTGCAAAAAAAAGGAGATACTAATTAAAATTAATTTTAGTAAAAAAATGTTCCTTTGTTGAAGAAAAAAAGGTCAAAGGGCCATAGAGGTTGCTGCCTCAAAATGCAAGCAATATACCCATCGAAAATGAGCATGATCTTTCAGAGGAGGAGATGGATATTCAACAAAATAGGGGACTTCCAAACCTTCCTGATAAAAAGACCAGAGCTCAACAGAAAATCTGATCTTCAAATACATGACTCAAAAGAGACGTAAAAAGGTAACCGTGACAAAAAGAAACTATTTACATCCCTAAAAGGGAAGATGACACTTGTAACCCTTGAGAATTGTATTGTTACTACCATGTTAAAGGGGTATACATAACAGGGGTAGGTATAAGTTGACTTTGATGTAATGATAAAAAATAAATCTAATCAAGTGGGTTAAATGGATCCAAGTAAGTGGATTAATCTGATCTAAGAAAATGTACTGAGAGAAAAGGAAAGCAGGAGGCAAATAAGGATAAATTACATTATAGGAAAAGGCACAAAACCTATTACAGCAGAGGGAAAGAAGGGAGGGAGATGAGCATTGTTCGAATCTTACTCTCATCAGATTTGACTCAAGAAGGGAATAATATAATCAGTTAGGTACTAATATTGATAAACTCAATCCTTCTCAGCAATACAAGGATCTAAGACATCTCCAAAGGCCTCATGATGGAAAATGCTATTCACATCCAAAGAAAGAACTATGGAGTTTGAATGCAGATGGAAGCATACCATTTGCTATTTTTTTTCTTCTGTTGTGTTTTGTTTCCTCTTTCTGCTGGTTCCTTCTATTGGTTCTAATTCTTACTCAAAACATCACTAATGTGAAAATATGTTTAATAGGAATGTATATGTATAGCCTATATCAGATTGTGCGCCATCTTGGGGAGGGAGGGAGGGAGGAGGAAAAGAAAAATTTTAAACTCAAACGCTTATGCAAGTGACTGTTGAGAAATCAAAATAAATTAATTAAAAACACACACACAAAGATACAATAGGTGAGAGGCCTACTTTCTGATCACTCATGTTATGTGGTATTTCCTTTCCTATTTGAGCAGTTATAACAAAAAACCAAAATTAAACCAGAAGAGTGTAATTTTAAAAAACAAAACAAAACACGTTGTGACAAGGTGGCCTCATCAGTTCTGCCACTAACTAGCTTTAGGACTTCTTTGAGTTTTGGCTATAAAGAGGTTGGGTTACATAGCCTCCATAATCTCTTCCAGTTCTAAAACTTGGATGAGCCTATACCCTTCCATTTGTTTTACATTATATTCTTTGTCAGCAACCAATCATTCAATGAACTCAGAAGCCTCTGGTACCTTAAGCTGTTGACAATAAATATATTTGTTTCCAAAATAAGTAAGCAGGAAGTAAACATACACAACACCTATATGCAGTCAACAATTTAAAAGTAGCAGAGGCTTTGAAATAAACTAATATTTCAGAGACTTCACTAACAAACTGTTGCACCATAAGCACAGTAAAGGATATCAGTAAAGGATAATTGTTCCAGATTTTCCTCTTCCAGTGAGGGCGCAACAGGGTTGCATGGCTAGATATCTAAAATTATATTTTTGAACTATTAAAGGCAACCGGATGAACAGCTGGTTATTCTACAGACACCCACTCCAGGAAGACAAAACACATTGCATGGTGATTAAACAAGGTTGGTGTTAAAATGTTTTACAAAGAGATTCACGCGTTGACTTGGCGTTTCCCTCAGCTTGGGGCAATTACTAGCACACTATAATAACAGCCTGGCAGTTCTTTACTCTATAATACACAAACACAATCAGGTTCATGAAATTATAGGATTCGGAGCAGAAAGGGGCCTGAATGACTTTTTAGCCCAACCCCCTCATTTTACAGAAGAGGAAATTGAGGCCCCGAGAAGAGAAGTCAGTGACCTTGTCCAAGTTAGTAACTAGCCAGGATTTAAGCCCTGGTCTTCTGACTCAAAACTCTGCTATTTTTTTCCCCTACTGCAATCCTCCCCTTAGTCCTTCCTTTCTCCAGAAAGAAAAGGCACTATCTTTGAGTCAGGAGATTTGGGTTCAAATTCTTGATACCAGGGTGAACTTAAGAAAGTCATTTTCCCTCCAGAGGTCTCAATTTTTCATCTGTAAAATGAGAACAAGATAACTTACATTAGGGCTTTAAGACTTACAAAGCGCTTTCCTCAAAACAACTCTTTGAGGTAAGGAGTTCAGGTATTATCACCCTCTTTTTGCAAGTAAGTCAACTGAGGCCCAGAGAAAGTTAATGACTTGTCTACGGTGACAAAACTGGCACCCATAATGTCCTGATTCCAAGTCTGCTCTTTCACCAAACGATGACAGATGGCACTGACCCGTGTGATCTTAAGCAAGTCATTTCCTCTCCGGGCCTCAGTTTCTGTGAAATGAGGAAGTTGGAAGTTCTGGTACGCTGGGGGGACGGGGAATCATAAAGACCTTGGGCCCCTAGGCGGAAGCCTCCGGACCCCTCCTCCCAATAATGGTGGTAAACCAGTGAAGTTAAATACACCGGGTTACAAAAGAAACCGGTTCTCCTCAAATAAAGGTATCAACACGTTTCACAAAGTCGCGTCCTCGGACCCGGGGAAGTCTGGGAGCAACGCCCGAGCTCCGAGCTCCCGCGGCGCCGTGGGCTCTGCCCCCGGGGAGGGAGGGGAGGTGGGAGGGAAGGGGCGCAGCGCACCTGCGGGGGGTGTTGAGGAGCCGCTCCTGCTGGTCTCCCTCGTCTTCGTCCTCGTCCTCGTCCTCGTCCTCCGAGTCGGGCTCGCAGTAGCAGAAGGAGCTGCTGCTGCGCTTGCGCTTGCGGCCGCCCCGGCAGAAGCAGGCGCTCCCCCGGGGGGCGCCCCCACCGCCCGGCCCCGCTGCGCTCCCCGCCTCGGAGCCCCGCTCCTGGACGGCCCGGCTCCCGCCTCGGCGCAGCACCCGGCTGCTCAGCGAGCCCATGGGCGGCCGGGAGAATCGGCCGGCTCCAGCGCCGGCACCCTGCTTCAGGGAGCGCGGCCCAGCGGCGCCCCCGACATAGTCCGGCCCCGGCCCCCGCGCTTTCACGGAGACTCCGCCTCCGCCACAACCGCCGCGTCCATTGTCGCCCCGCAGCACTCGCCTCGGCCCGCCCCTCACAACCGGCCCCCGCGCATGCGTGCGCTGCCCTGCCCCTGCCCACAGCTACCGGCTCGGGCGTGCCTGGGCTAGTAGAGTAGTTGGAGAGGTTGGGCGGGGAGGGGTGTGCCCTGGGCGTGGAGGGGGAGGGGAGGAGGGAGCAAGAGGAAGGAGGGAAAAGGGGAGGAGCAAGAGGGAGAAAGAGACGGACGAGACGGAGGAAGAGAGATAGGGAGGGAGGAGCGAGGGGGAGGGAGACAGGAAGGGGAGGGGCGAGATGGAGGGTAAGGCGTGAGAAGGGGAGGGGCGGGGGGGAGAAAGAAAGGAGAGAAGGGATGAGAGAGTGGGGCTGGAGGAGGAAGAGAGCGACTAGGAGGGAGGAAAAGAGAGGGGGTAGAGAGTGAGGGAAAGAGGGAAGGGGTAAGGAAGGAGGGCAGGCAGGAGGAGTTCCTGCGTCCTAGCTGCCCTGAGCCTCGGGTAGGGGACCTGTGGTGCATTCTGGAGCCTCTGCGAATTGACTTTTTTGCTCTTTGCATGGAGCTGGATGTCGAGGCCAAAGTCATAATTTGCTTGTATTTCCCTCTGAAGAGGAGCCTTAGAGTCATCAGGCCCAGCCTTCTCATTTTGCAGAGGGAGAAACTGAGTCTCATAGAGAAGTTCGGGCCTAGAACCTCTCGGATGACTTGCCCAGAATCACACAGCTGGTGACAAGGCTTGAGCCCAGGACTCCTAACTCAGTGGTCTGCCCAGCATGCCAGCCTCCTCTGCAGACAAACTCAAAATCCTTAGGATGATGCATTATAGGACACAGAGCTGGACAGGACCTTGGAGAAGATCTAATCCAGCCTCTTCATTTTACAGGTGAAGAAAATAAGGCCTCATGAGATGAACTAAGGAGATCATGGGATTTAGAGGCTAGAAGGTTACAGTCGTCAACTTATTATAGTTGTGGCTTTTAAACTTGGAAAGCAATTTAAAGACGATGTACATCTAACTTGCCTTATTTTAAGAGAAAACAGGTAAGGTCAGGATTTGATTTTTGTTACCAAAAAGTAACAGTGCAGGTAAGCAGTGGAATCAGATTTGAATCCATATCCTCCACCCTCCAAAATCACCATGCTTTTTTTCTGTTGAAGACCTCTTCATTTCACAGACAGGGAAATTAAGACCCAAAAAGGGAAAGAGACTTGAGATCATGGGATTTCAAGCTGGAAAGGATCTTAAATATTATCCAGTCCAACCTCTTCATTTTACCTAGTGTCCTAGAGACATGCCAGCAATCCTATGATGTGACTTGTCTAAAGTCATTTTGTTGTTTTTGTTCAGTCCTATCCATGGTGTCCAATTCTTTGAGACCCCATTTGGGGTTTTCTTGACTATCAGGTGACAAAACCTTTCACTTGTATCCAGGTTTCATAACTCTTCTTTTTCTAATAAACACAGTTCGTCTCTTGACAAGCCCTATGTGTTGGGATCATAGACTTTAGAGTGAATAGGAACCTTAGTGATAATTTAATCCAATTACATCATTTAATGAAAAAGGAAACCAAAGCCCAGAGAGGTTCAATGACTTAGATCCAGTGCACATTGCCTGGCGTGTATTTAGTAAGTCCTTGTTGATTGAGTAAAATGTTATATGTCTACCAGGACTGGGGAACCTGCAGTCTCGAGGCCACATGTGGCCCTCTAGGTCCTCAGATTTGGCCCTTTGACTGAATCCAAACTTCACAAAGGATGTGTGTGAAGTTCTGTGAAGTTTGGATTCAGTCAAAGGGCTGCCCTTGAGGACCTAGAGGGCCCCATGCCACCGCAGGTTCCTCACCCCTGGCCTAGACCTTTACATAAATAAAGGATACATAATCTTTCTCAGTGTGAATGCTCCTCTCAAGAGTATTGGTCACAATTCTTTAGTAAATCAGGTTTTGGTAAATTGGTTCATGAATTGCTATAGTCCCCCAGATTTCATGCCCTGGAGGCCAACCCTCTTGTGAAGGGCCTTTCCTAGGTTGGCTGGGTTTATCCTCAGAGACAGAGACACAAGTCTACTCTGCAAGCCCTCAGTGACAGGCAGTGTGATGTTGTAGAAAGAACACCAGGTTGGCATCAGGAGACTAGGGTTGAATCTGACTCCTGCCGCTAACTAGCTATGTTATGAACTATTTCCTGTCTAGTCTACAGTGACTTTTTCTGTAACATGGAGAAGTTAGAAGAGGTGATGTCTGAGGTTTCTTCTAGCTGTAATATTCTGTAACTATATAGTGGAAACCTTTTGTGTTTCCTTTCCACTCTCTCAAAATGATATCCCCGAGGCAATACATACTTAGTCCTTAGAGGAAATTCTGCTTCCCTTCCCACTTCTCTTTCCTACCCCCACCCTGAGGGTGATCTGAATAATCACTTCCAGTTGCCTAAGAGAGCTGTTTAACTATTTAAGAGACTGCCTTGGGGATGAGAGGACCAGACAAAACCCCCCCAGACTTCAGCTTCCTCTTCGGTGAAATGCAGGGTTGAATCATGGATTTAGAGCTGATTGCCATCTTAGAAGTCGCTGAGTCCAACCCTCTTTACTGAGAAGGAGCTGAGGCCCAGAGAAATCAGGTGACATGCCTAGGCTCACAGAGCAACCAAGTGCCTCAGGGGGGAGTCCAGTCCTGTCTCTTTTCAGTCCAAGGGCAGCACTCTGTCCAGTCTTGTGGCCTTGGAGACTCCTTCCAGCTCTAGATCTGTGATGCTAAGTTGGAATGCTTTCTCAAGTCTAAACACATGGAGAGACACCCCTCCCAGACACCAGAGGAAGGAGGCCCAGAGGGGTCATGAGGCTCAACCTTAAAAGAGCTATATACATGTCAGTTATTATCAGTCTCCTATCTGGTGATGTCTTTGTTCCCTGGGCCTCCTACTATACTCCTGCTGAGCTCAAGCAGTGTTTATAGAGCAGTATAGAGATGTGATGTGACTGAACCTGGGCTCTTAGGGGTGAGAGAATCAGCTGTGCACACATACTTTTAAGTTTAATCTTCATTATTAACACTTAAATCCTAAATAATCATCAAAACAAATCAATCCCAGATTTGTTGTTGTTGTTCAGTCTTTTCAGTTGTGTCTGACTCTTTATGACCCTGTTTGGGGCTTTTGAGGTTTGTCATTTCCTTCTCTAGCTCATTTTACAGATGAGGAAATTGAGCCAAACAGGGTTAAGTGCCTTGCCCAGGATCACATAGCTAGGAAGTATCAGAGGCCAGATTTGAACTCGGGAAGATAAATAAGACTTCCTGACTCCAGGCCTGGCACTCTGTCTGATGGGGTGCTTGGGTGGTTGTACTGAGACCCCAATTCCTTGACCATGTTTCTCCCTAGCCTCAGAAACACTATCCCTGGCAGTTTCTCCCCAGCCCAAGGACGCTGTGCCTAGCAATTACTCATGAGTGGGCCCCAGCAAGACCCTTATCTCTTTCCCTGATGCAGTTACAAACAGCACCTGCAGGAATTATTAGTTTGAATTGGTTTTGCACTAGGTCATAAAGATATTCCTACCCACTGGACTATCTATACTACCACCCTACCTCATTATCTACATCTTGGACTCCTCATTATCTGTGTTCTAGACCTAAGACATATGTATACTTCCTACATCTATCTTGTCAAACGACATTGACTGGTGGCAGACTGGACAAGTCTCAGTTATCCCTGAACTCTAGTTAACTTAGTGACATAGTAGGCCTAAAACCACACCTCCATGTGGCGCCCTTGTGGGCTTTTTCTAGTGAACTCTGGGTAAAACGCCTTCATAGTAGGTACAAGAAGTGCATGTACCTTTAAGAACTGACTACTCCTTAACCATTCCTTGATCCCACCCTGAATCACCTAGTTAGCATATTTGACACATGTTTTATTATATTTTATCCTATATAAACTTTAACTGTACCCCTCTAAGGTCACAAGTTCCTTAGGAATCCCTGACCACTGAAAAGTGTAATAATAAATCTTTGCCAACCTGACTTAAAGAATGCTTGAGTCTGTGAATTCATTCCAGACAACCCTGTCCTGTCCTCCAGTCTCTGAGGGGTCTCAACCTCTCAGACTGCAACATATCCACAGCACCACCTAGCAGATTTGTAGTGATTACCAATTTCTGAGATTCTAACCTTAACACTGAAATTTTAACAACCCAGCAGGTTAGAGCTGGCTCTGGCATATCCTTGTACCTGGTATTAGTTGGGAAAGCAACAAGATTCTCCTCCCTGGACAAGGTTTTGTGAGTCCAGGAGTGGGGAAAAAAATGAAATGGTCTTAGGGAAGGGAAGTCTCTAATCTGGTACTATATCATTTGCATTTTGATTCTGGGAAAACTTATCTTTTTGCCAGATAAGAGAACTCTTGGAGGCCTTTCCCATTGTGATGGCAACAACCTGCACCCAACAACACAGAAAGATCTGCATAGAATTCTGCCATTGTCTAAAAGCAATACCTGGCATAGGAGTCATACAGAATTGTCAGAGAAGGCTAGTGAAGGGAGACAGGAGAAAGGAGAGCCCAGTGAACAATTTGCCTGTTATAAAATGTAAATGACTGTGAATTTATAGAGTTTAGAAGAGGCTGCTCACTGGATGGCGTCTATGGTCTTAAGGGGTCTGTATTGGGCTCTAATTTTAATTTTTATAATTTTCCAATAATTTCATGAAATGTGTTAGTAAAGAAGGTTGGTTTCCATTAACCAACAAGCATTTATTAGGTAAGCAACTGAGAGAAATGATTATTAATAATCAATGATTTGAAGAGATCCAGAGTTCACCCATTCTCTAAAGTCTTTATTTCAAAAAGTTCAATCTCTGGAAGACATTGCTGATAATGCCATTGGATTAACTTTCTTAATAATTTTGTTCGGACCCCACCCAGGTGGGGAAGCTATTGTGCTTTACCCAGGTTTGGGTGGGGATAAATTCTTTGAATAGATAGTCCAAGACTGGGGGTAACTAAGAAGTAAATTACATAATCAAAGTTCATTAGGTCCAGCCCCTTGTCATAATATTCATTCTC